GAAGATCACATTTCACACCTTACAATTATAACAACCTGGTTTCAGTTGATGCCAACTTCAGAAATGTACAGACGCTATATCACACCAATCTACTACATCTTTATTTATCAAGTGTTTTTAATATAAATATACATTTTCTATGCATTTGTCATTACAAAGCATGAAGAAAGTAGCAAGTAGAATGGCCAAGCAAAACTACCTGAAAACTTGTCCTTATTCTTGATCATGCAAATACTTCTGATGGAGATCTTTCTGTATGACTTCCAGTTACTGTCCCTTGTTCCTTCTTTTCCACCTGAAACAGCCGCTAGCACTTCTTATAGGTTGCAAACTCGCTCAACTTTTGTTCATCTAGGAATGTCTTAATTTTGCCCTCATTCTTGACTATTTTGCCATTTATAAGATTCTTGGTTGACAGTTCTTTTCAGCAATTTAAACATGTCATTCCATTCTTTTTCTGTCCTCCAAGGTTTCTGAGGAGAAATCGTCAATCTTATTGAGTTCTCTTTTTAGTTTGTTTGTATTTTAATCATTTTTATTTGGGGCTCTTATCACTCTTGTAACAATCCATTTATCAACTGTATCAAGCACATTTGTACATATGTTGCCATCATTTTCAAAACATTTTCTTTTTACTTGAGCCCTTGGTATCAGCTCCTCTTTTTTCAGTGCCCCGCCTTGTGAACGCTTGATAAATTATCATTATTGTTTTCATATCTTTGAGTTCTTTTGTATGTCAGTCACATTCTCTCCTCTCACCAAATCCAGGATTCTTTCTTTATAATCAATTTTTAAAAAGTTGATTATAAAGGGTCTTTGCATAGAGCTCTTTGGGCTTATACTACTTGAAGTTAGTGGAGCATCTTAAATATTCATGTCCTTTGACAAATTTTAGAAAGTTTTCTGCAATTATGTTTTTTCTAATATTCTGTCCCTTTACTTCTCATGTCCCTTTAGAATTTTTATCTTGATGCCTGTACGTCCATGAGCAGTCTTCTGTTGCTTCTCTCGGTCATCTTAATTTCTATTCCTTTCCTAGCTTGCTGATTCTTTTCTTTTTTGAGATAAAATCTGTTATTAAATCTTTTTT